CACTGCCCGGCCTGCGGGCCCGCAGTGGAGGGGCGGCTGCGGTGGGCGTTGTCTGCCCTGCGGCGTGGCTGGCACCCGGGCCGGGCTCTGAGTCCACCTGGCGCAGGTGCCCGGCCTGAGCCTGCCTGCTTTTGATTAATTCATTGTTACCAAACTGAAGGGTTTATTGTCACCGCTGGCTCAGCCTTGCACTTGGCCTCACAGGTTTAAAACGCAGCTTTGCGGTGTTACGAGGTCGAGTGTGAGCAGAAATCAGCAACAGCTGCTGTGCAGAGCTGACGCGGGAGAAGGCGAGGGGATGGCCTGGCGCCCTGCACCTCCATTTCTAAGGGAGACGATTAAAAAACAATCTCCAAGCCTAGATCCAGGGGTGACAGTTTAACCTCTTCACCCTCCGAGCAAAAAGCACAGCGAATCCTTTCTCCAAGACCCGTTTTTCTACCCTTTCCCTAAATCGTTTTAAAAAATACATTGCTTTTAAGTATGTTTTTCAGTTCCTGGAGCCCTAATTGGTTTTTCAGTGCACAGGTCAATTAAAAGCTCATTTAACTCAGCTGTTTCGATTTCATTGAATTGTTTTTGGCAGATTAGCAAAATAAAGGTGGGAAATGTTGGCATTAGAAATATTATTAATTAAAATCATCAGTTTGAACTAGTGCTACCTTGCTTTCTTGACAGGAATTCTATTAACAAGACCCTTTGTTTGCAGAGTAAAATGAGTTAACTTCATGCTGGGTACTTTTACAGAATTTCATTTTGTAAATGTTTATTTAAAGGTATTTTTTGTTTTCTCAGAGCAGTTTTTAAAAAAAAATACCTAGGGCGATTGAATAATTGGCCGTTGGAAAAGAAAAGATTTTCATCTTTATAGAAAAATACTCAGCCACAATGAGTTAATGGCAGAATTCTGCCCTTGATTGAAAACATTTCACTGGGTTTATACTTTTGGCTTGGCCTTGTTTATTTTCTTTTATTGTTTTTTCTGCAAAGTTCTTGCTGTAAGGCAGAAGGCACTGTTTTGATTCGGTCCCTAAACCATTTGTAACAGGTGGGTTTACCCGAAAGATCAAACCTGGAATTTGACCTTCTAAGAAAAGACAAATTCCTGGGACCTTATGACATTTCAAATCCAGATAAAGTTTTCAGAAATGCTGACATTCATTTGCTCATCAAGCCAAGGCTCAAGTATTTTCCTTGAGAATACTGACTCGTCCCTCTTCTCACTAATTGTGCTGGGGTAATTTTGCAGGTATGGGCTGAGTCATACTGGAAACAAAAGACAATCCCTTAAATCTTTGCTTTCCCTCTTTTCTTTGTTAGGGAGAATTGGAGAAGTTAAATCAATCCACTGATGACATCAACCGGCGGGAGACTGAACTTGAGGTACAGAAAGCCAGGTCCCTGTTCTTGTTGAAGTGGTGTCAGTCTCACTGACACCAGAATGGTTAATTTTGTTATAGTAGCTGGAGGGTGATTGCTGGCGTCCCCTCCTCGAAGTTGAGCAATAGCCTGCTGCCTGACAGAATAAAGTACACCACTGAGCCCAGCTTGTGGGTGGAACACATATGGATCCAATTTCACATGTTGTTTTTCATCATGGAAGCTCCGTGAGGCCAAAACCAAGGGCTTTATACACGCGTAAGCCCTAAAGTTAATGTGTCTGTGGAAAAGCTAAAGAATGGAGGGGAAAATGAGCTGAACTCTTTCATGGAGAGAAATAAATGAGCTCACAAAATCTCTTCAATATTTTCGGGCGGTTCCTTACACTGTACTTGGAAACACTGTGTTTCCTCAGACTTAAACCTTTTTTGACTTTCCTGCTCTAATAATTCACCCACTTCTACTTCGCTGCTCATGTCTTTCTTGTCTGCTTGTGTGGAGAATATAATTATCTTAAAGGTAAGGAAAAGCTGTTTAGACTGGGAAGGGCTTTCCTGCTGGGAAGAATCTTGAGAGACTAGAACTGGATTTGAATTTCATGAACATCTTCCAACCTGAGTGTAAACAGATTAGCATTCTTCACGGCTGCCAATTAGACCCCATGCCTTTTCAGTAGTGGTTGGTTTTACCATCCATCAGCAGATTTGAACAACCCCTGCATATATCCCAGAGCCTGTGAATGACTCCGTCAGAGCTGAAGGAATGCAGGGAGCTGTTGGGAGGACCTAGTTCTGTAGCAGGAGAAATAGCAGGGAAGGTCAAGGGAAAGGGCAGGAAACATCTGGTCCCTAAGAGTCAGGGTGCAGGAGATAGGGATATTATCTGCCAGCAGTACCCTGGCAACCTCGATTTCTGACTGCTTACCGTGCCGAGCCCTGCAGGTACCACATCTGGATGTAGGTGTGGGGATTAACAGCTTGTTTTCTGAGCTGTGTGTGAAGGGTTAACACTTCTCTTGCGACTGTAGGTATCTATGAACACTGGCTGCCCTTCTCCCCCAAGTGGATCTGAGTGTTTATTTAAATTCTTTTCACTTAGGATGAATCAAGTCTTTTTGTTGGGCAATTGAAACCTTTCAGAGTCTCAGATTTGTAATACATGAAACAAAACCCAAAGCCCAACCATTTTATAGGGATTTACAAAATGTTTTTACAAGCTTTATCTCATCCCATCCTGTCACAACAGGCTAAAGCCGTGCTGCCCAATATGGGCACGTGCGGCTATTTGAATTTACATTAAATTAATTGAAATGAAATAAGATTAAAAATTCAGTTCCTCAGTCACAGTAGCCACATTTTAAGAGCTCAGTAGCTACTGAGTTGGACAGAACAGAGAACATTTCCACCATTCTAGAAAGTTCTAGTGGACAGCCTGTGCCTGGAGAGTACAGGAGGTGGTGAGTACCTCTTCAGGTGAGGACACGGAGGCCCAGTGTCCTCTCGGTTCAGTGACATTGTGGAGCCAGGTCATTTTCCATATCCCCTCCAGCTCTCATATTCTACCATCCCAAGTATGAATAGACAAGTTGGAAATAGTGTTTATTTTTTTCAAAGGACTGATTGATTCATTCATTCAACAAATATTTGTATGCCTATGCTATGCTGGCCACTGTTCTGGTAGTGCTTACTTACCTTCTGGGGGTAAAATTGTTTTCATCTGTTAAACTCTTTTTAGCCCCGATTTCCGAATCCTTTTTCTGAATACACTTAGGTATTTATGTGTCACAGGAAGCCATGGGACAGGTGTTTCCTGCCTTGCTCTGGAGTGCGCTTGGCAGCGGTGAAGAGAGGTGGTCAGAGCTGGCCTGTGTCGCTGGCTGACCTTTTCATGGTATTATTATAACCAAGAGAGACTCAGAAATATAACGCAAGCTACACAAGCAATTAAAACTTCCCTAGTAGCCATATTAAAAAGTAAAAAGAAACAGCTGGAGTTAATTTTGATCTATTTCGTTGGACTCAGAATGTTCCAGATAGTATAATTTTAACATGGGATCAATATTAAAAGCCTTGATATATTCTACAGTTATTTTTATGTGAACTCTTCAAAATCGTGCATATTTTACACCTAGAGCACATCTCAGTCTGGACAGGCCACTCAGCAGCTACATGTGGCACCAGGCAGCCCAGGTCCAATAGGTGCTTCCTGTCAGTCTCCCAAAGGGGCAGAGGGATTTCACGCTCAGTGCGGGGCTCTCTGGACACTTGTCATGCTCCCGGAGCCCGGAGGAGATCATGGTGTCGCTGTGTGTCTGTGGTGGGCTGTTCTCTCCTTCAGTCAAGCCCTGGGCACCAGCCTTGCGTCAGGCACCTTTTTGGGCCACTGCAGACACTTGGGTGAACAAGACAAAGGTCTTGCCCTTGCGAGTTTACATTTTGGTTGAGGGTGAGGAGTAGAGAGGTGGCTGATAATTACCGATTGTAATAACTACAGTAAAAGAGGGATGCGACAGGCTGTAAGAGAGGAGTCACTGGGAGATGGCTGAGCAGAAGCCTGCAGAACTCAAGTCCATGTGCAAAGTGTAGCAGATGGCATGCACAGCGGGGGTGGCAGAGGGGTGTGTGCCGGAGGATGTGGGACAGGAAGCAGAGCTTTTGATATACGGTTGATTCTCATTATTTGTGGTAGTTGTTTTCTGTAAAGTCACGGTGAAGACTGAATTAGTGAATCCTGAACCATGCTCCCAGGACCCTAACCCACATTAGGTTCCTGCAGCCTCTAGTCACGTTTTTGACAACGGAGCAATGCATAATTTTGTTTTATGTGTGCTTCTGTTTAAAGACACCTTATTTAATATCTGTCGTTGACTCATTAATGTTGAACTCATGGGCAACAGCACAAAGACTCATGCCTGATTGAAGCCTGTTTAACACACGAGCTCTCTGTAAGACTTGTCACACGGAACAGCTCTTCAGCACTAGGGCTTGGCCATTTTGAACAGCAGAATCCCCAACAAAAAGCACGCAGTGCAAAAAACGTGGCACTAAATGGACTGGGTAAAGGACACTTGTTTACAGTATGAGAGCTGAAACCAGAAGGCGGAGGGCCTCTTTGCTTGACCTCGTCTGGGAGCATGTGCACTGGGTTACTCAATTGTTTTGCCACTCTGTGCATGTCCACAAATGACTGTAGAAGCCCCATGGGTGTTGATTTGGAGTTATGAGTAAATTTTAATGAGTGTGGAATCTGCAAATAATGAGGATTGATGGAAATAATTTCAAAGCCTCTAGAGGAGGGTCTTATGCTGTCCACGTTTCCTTTCCCTTTACTTTTTGTTTATGATCTGGAGTGCCCAGCACCCCTCCTGACTGTCTAAAGGGAACTGGTGACCAGGTATGTGGTGGCTGCTATGTCACTCGCAGAACGTGGCTTGGCCGTCTCTGGGCAGCTGTAGGCCAAGGTGCAGGTCTGGATTCACCTTTATCTCATTCCCTGTCTCAGCTCTTTAAGTCGGAGATTACCAGGAGGCCTCTGGATGCGGGCCACCTGCATGTCATCAGTTGGATATCTGCCTCTTCCTGCAACCTCCCTTTGCCTCTGACCTTGTTTGAACAGTGCTGTGTCCCCTTTGCACTCTGATTGCTATCTCGAGGGCCAACCTTTTCAAGCTGCTGAAGGGAGTGACCTTTTAACCAGAGAGGCCCTTGGATATAAGCCTGATATTTCAAGTTAAGAAAGTAAATGTATTTTCCCACAGACCCATCCTTGAGTATTTATTGAGCACCTACAATGCGCTAAGGGCGGTTTTAGGTGATGGGGAGAAGAGAATGTCCTGACGCTTACATTACGGAAGCGGAGGACATGCACTTAACACTGAACGTCATGGTAGTTATGTGGTGATGAGTGCTAAGGAGGAAAACAAGTCAGGAAGGGGCCTCGGCAGTGTGGGTGTTTGTGGGAGAGGGGAGAGGTACAGTGTTATATATGGTGGGTGGGGAAGACTTCCTCAAAGGCAGGTATGGAGAGAGCGCCTCCGGGGCGTGTGGGGAAGAGCATTCCAGCCAGAGGGAATGGCCAGTGCTAAGCTGGAGGTGCAGGCTGGCTGAGGACCGGGCAAGGGGCAACCAGTTTGCTGGGGGTGGGCTGAGCGGTGGACAGAAGAGGAGAGTCGGGGAGAACTGGGCCATTCAGGTGAGGCCATGCGGGGAAGTGTGCTGAGGAGGCAGGGGAGGGAGAGGAGGAGGAAGATGAGGAGGGACACAGGGTGGACACAGGCCTAGCTGCCCACATACAGCTTTTCTGGCTCCCACTGATCAAAAGCTGCCTCTTCCAGCCTGCCCTTCTCCCGGGGGGCAGAGCAGTGAGTGGCAAATGTTCATGCTCTGTCCCTCACTGTTTGGGTGGGGACGGTTGGAGAAGCATTTGATTCTAGACATCTGTGTTCCCCAAACGTGCAGAAGGCCTGCACCCAGAACCTGCTCCCCCCCTCCACCAGAACCAGCAAACGTTTTCTCTTAAAAATAAAGTTTGAGCTTGGAAACTCAGGGGTGGGAGAGGAAAGGGAGGGGTGAATTGGAAGCAATTGCACTTGTAAGAATTTATCCTAAGGGAATAATTTAATGTTCATTGCAGCATTGTTTAAAAATGTTGGGAAATTAGCTCTGGGCGGTGCGACTTGGTTGAGCATTGTCCTGTGCTCCAAAAGGTTGCTGGTTTGATCCCTGGTCAGGGCACATGCCTCTGCTGCAGGCTCGATCCCCTGCAGGGGTGTGCAGGAGGCGGCCGATCCATGTTTCGCTCTCACATCAGTGTTTCTCTTTCTTTCCCTTTCCCTTCCTCTCTCTAAAAATCAATAAGAAATCTTTTTTTAAAATGTTGGGAAATTATAAATCTGCATGACTATCAATAGGGGGATTGGTTAAATAAGCGAATACAGTGCACACCCTATGGTTGATAGAATCTAGGCCTTAAAATGATGACGCAGCCTGTTAATAACATAGAAG